CCCTACAGCTAGACTGCCCTAATGTTGCTTTAGGAACATCAAGGTTAGTCCTGTAGCTGGCTGTGGTACTTTGGGATCTGGGTGCCCTCCTTCAACCAAGAACTGTTGTGTGGATGGAGCAGGTCTGACCCACTTTTTCTTGATAGCTTCACTGATGAAGGAATTGGGGGGTGCCGTATGTTGATGTGTGAGACTCTGCACTCAGCTGGTAGTGAGAAACCCTTATCACTCTCCTACACAGCTTCGTTCCTGTGGATACTCAGCATTGCAGTGATGAGATTAAAAGGGCCGTGAAGCCCTTGGCATGGGATTTAAGCCATATGGTGATAGTGTGGTTCTGCTTGTGGAATGGGCAGCAGAAGCTTAGAGGTGTTAGGTCTGCCGTGGAGGCCAGGCAGCCTTTCGGAACTTCCAGGAACCCTTGAGACCTCTGTCTTCAGGGAACTTGCTTTAGAAGAAGTCTCAGGAAGTCACTGAGGGTGACTGGGTTTTTTCCTTAGCCCAGAACTTGGGTGTTAGTGAATTTCAGTTTATTAAGCCAACGTTTTTCCGGCCTGTTGAAAGGATCTGCCAGGCCTGTTTGAACAGTAGCTGGTACCTGCACCCCTAGACCTGTGTTTGGTTGACTAGTGCTAAGTGTGTGCTTAGTGTATATGAGGTCTGGTTCCCACCCCCACACCAAGAGAAAGATAATAGAGAATCCACATAGGCCTGAGCCTAAGGGAGGGCACAGGAGTTAGAACATGGGCAACCAGCCTATTAGTCACTATGCCGTAGAATGTTGAAGACTCCACAGCAGTAACCTTCCTCTGCCAAGACATGGTTGTAAGTTCTCTTGGCCCATCAGAGTGACATCTTATGCTAGAGTGTGTCACACTCTGCAGGTTTCCTGACCTCAGTGGCCAGCAGTGGAGAAGGCCTGTGTGGTCACATGGATTCTCTGAAAAGAATCCAGAAAAGGAAGTCTAGAGAAGTCGCCCACTGGTGTGTGAGTGGGTGCCCTGCCCTGAGTGACCTCAGCATGTGGGAAATTGCGGACCTCAGAAGCTCAGCTGTCTTGGACTTGTCAGGGTAGAAGTTCTAATCATTTGTTTGTTTGTTTCTCCCAGCACCTGGGGAGTCTGGCCAGATGAGCACTGGGGTGACTGGCCACTAGACATCCCACCCATTTGCTGCAAGGCAAACCCCGAATCAGTGCACAGAGGGGCTCACTGGGGCTCTTGTGGGCTCTCCCTGGGAGCCTTGAGCAGGGAATTGGAGACACCTAGACTTCAAGGGGTCAGGAGATGCTGCTGACTTTTAGGGAGTCCTGTGTTCATCAGTGGGATTGCCTACTAGTTTTGGGACCCTGTGTGTGCTGGCTGAATTCAGATGAGCCACTTGCAGGAGTCAGAATGTCTCTAGACAGGGTCCCAGGTGTACTGCGAACTGTTGTTTAATGAGAACTCTACTCGGTGGGCTCGCTGAGCCAGCCCACACTCAAGCCTTAGTCCAGCTGTTGGTCCAGGGCTTGAAGTGCCCTGGGGGACCGGCATAGCCAAGCTTCCTGGAACCAGTGAAGCCACCAACCACTTCCTCCACCCTGCCTCAGGAGCCTTGGGAGATTCGTTGCTGGTGGGGGAGTCTGGGCAGGACTAGCCTCATTTGCCTAGTGAGTTTCTACCATCTGCCAAATTGGTGTGAATGAGGCAGCAGCTTCTGGATGGCTGTGTTTGCCCTGAGTATGGTCCTCGAGGGAAAGATCCTGGTACTTTCTTACAGACCCCAACCAGATCGGAAGACCACCTCCACACGGTGTTCTGGTGCCAAATGTCTGCTCAGCCATGGGTCAGGTGGTGTCAGGGTGACCCTAGACCTTCTTCCATGGCTGGGGCACTGTGTTGTGCTGACCCAGCCAAATAGTAAAGGGTCTGTGTGGCATGCTATACTTCTGTAAGATGTGAACCATGGAGCCCTGTGGTAAGCCAAGTAAGTAATCTTGGGCATCACCATGCAGCTGGCTAGGGATGAAAACTAACCTGACATGTGAAGAACAGTCATTATTAGGCCTGTGGTAATGGGGCCTGGCCTGCCAGCGATCTGCACCCAGGATGAGGCACCGGGCTTTATCTTACTGGCCCAGCTGGTTCTGAGAGCCTCCACAACCTCACTTATCTGGCGTGCCACGTGGGGAACTCCAAAGAGGACCAGCTTCTACCTCCTGTGCCATGGCCACGCTTATCTCCCTGACAGAGGCTTCGTATGAACAGCAGCCAGTCCTGCTGCCCAGTGTCTTTGGTGGGGAAACAGTGGAGAGGCGGCAGATTGTCTGGATAGGGAACTGAGGTTCCTTCCGGTCGGTCTTCTGACCGCCTCTCATGACAGCGTCTCATGAAGGCCAGAAACCCCTGTATTCAGATGAATTCATTCATTTATTTCAGATTATTTCGTTTTGAAAACAGAGCTGTGGGAAATAATAATACCCTTGTTTGCTTGTTACCAAGTCAGTGAGCATTACCATTTCATTACCTGCTTTAGTTCCTTTTATAAGAGACGGGAGAGTATAGAGTCCCTTTTGTTCTGTCTTAGTCTAAGGTCAGAGGAAAAGTCAGCAGCTAGGAAGAAAGAGTTCAGTCCCAATTGCTGAGGCCCGGCACGAGCTGGACCTCCTCTGGCCGCTTGGTCGGGAGTCTGTTTTAGGCCAGGGAGAAGCTGGCTTGGCCCTCAGACAGGGCAGGGTGTTGGGATAGCAGAGGAGGGGCCCACTGACAGCCAGCATGGTGCTCTAATACACTGTTCCCTTCCTCAGAGGTTCAGAGGGATACCTCACACAGGGCGACTCGGCCGAGGCACGTTATCTGGAGCCCAGGGCTGGGGCGGACTTGCCCTTCAAAGCCAGAAACCAGAGACCACAGCTGCCAAGGCTGTGGCTGCAGTCACAGCGGCTTCTGGCTTAGGCACACCCTCCTGCTGGTTCCCCCCAGCCAAATGCGATCTGGCTAGTGATGCAATCGGCCAGCCTCTTGCACCCAGAAGCCTGATATCTGGGGAGAATCAAGAGAGGCTTGGCATCTTGGGCTTTGTCATCAAACCTATCGGGACATGTGAGACTGCCTCTGAAAAGCTGGCTGAGAGAATGGTGACCTTTGGGTAAAAGGACAAAGGCTCCCGATGGGGAAGCATTTCACAGAGGGCTCGTGCGTCCATCCTGCCTCCCCCCCTCACTCCTTCACTCTGGGAGACTTGGAGTTTGCAAGCAAGTTGTTGTAGCAGCGGTGACCCAGCCAATGGAGCTTTCTCAGAGCTTAGTCATCAGCCAGAGCTATGAAGAGGGAGGTGACTCAAATGATGAGGTCTCTGACTTCCTGGAGGGAAAGCAACTGCCCAGGCCTCCATCCCCCAGCACCAGGGAGTCTTCCTGTTTCCCTTCCACTTGAGGTTGGCCAAGTCCAGATAATTAATGTGGATTTCTGTCTTTGTAGTCTGTTCCCCAAACTGCAAAATTACGTGTAATTAGTCTGGCTAGGGAAAATGCTGCCTGGCATCTGTGAGGCCTGAGTCAGCACAGACTCTCTGGAAGTTGCTCTGTAGGGAAGCAATGAGCTGCTTCTACATCCTGGAGAAGTCAGGATGCTGGTAGGCTGGTACCTTGCTGGGGGCTTCTGTACTGGTTAATGTTTGACCAAGGCAAGCCAGGATCTGCCCCCTCCTCCAGAGTGGTGTGTAGAGGCTGCCTGGCTCTCTTGGGGCAGGAGCCGAGGAAGCTGGAGTCTCTAGTGTGGGGACCCAGCTGCTACCAAGGTGGTGGGGTAGGTGTGGTTGTTGGCTTTTCGGTGTTTTTGTTTATGTTTACATACAGTACAGTGTTGAATCCCCGGTTCCTTACTCCACACCTACACACTCTTGACATGGCCTTGGGGTTCATTAGAGGACCAGGAAGTCCTATTTCAGCTGTCTATCTGCAGTCCTTCTGGTCCCTGAGACCCTGCCTTCACCCTGTGTGTCCAGTTGCTCAGGTGTCTACAAAATACTAATCATGGTTTTCCTGTTCAGCATATGCTGTTGAAACAGCAGGAGAGTTGGCACATACGTCTGTTTCGTCATGCCCTGAGCCCACCTGCAGCATGTGAGAACGTGTGTTCCCTTTGGTCCTCACCTGCAGCCTATGCCCACCTTGCCCCGTTCTTTCCTCTTGGCTCATGAGATTCACACAGACAGGATGCTCACCTCCCTGCTTTCACCAGCCCCGTGGAAGGTTGTCTTTGAGGAGAGGGTCACCTCACAGCTTACAGTGCTGTGCTTGCCCCTAGCATGTACTATCAGAGAACCACATGGGTACCAGGGTTAAGTGGATGTCCTCCAAGTGGCCGGTTTGGGTTTCACTCGAGACTGCAGCCAGTATTCTTCCACAGGATTGGATACACATAGGTAACAGCAGGTGAAGATAGTTCTGATGAGGAGTCCCTCAGGAGGTTGAGACCACTCAGTTACGTGGAAATCTTAACCAGGCACTGTGGCACATGTCTAATCCCAACCCTCAGGAAGCTGGAGCGAAGGATCCAGGTTAAATGCCAATGGGGCTACATAGTGAGACTCTGTCTCAAAAAGGCCCAGATAATAATAATTCTAAAACTAAGAAAGAAACTGGACCTGGTGGTGCAGACTGGCATCCCAGCACTCAGAAGGCTTTGGCAGGAAGGTCTTGAGTTTGAGCCTAGCCTGGGTTACATGGTGAGACCCTGTCTATAAAAATCAAAAAGAAAAAAGATGAAAGGAAATTTGTTGCAGGCTATCCAGGGCTCTTTGAAGAGTTGGTGTTTCTAACCTTTGACCCTGGCCCCAGAGAACCAGCTAGCTTATCAAAACAAGTCCCAGAAAGTCAGAGCCCACGGGCAGGCAGGGCTTTGCCTCTGTGGGATCCCAGCCAGGAGCACCTGACCTCCTCTGTGCCCCGACCCTGGACTGGACCGCCTGCCCTTGGGGACTCATGCTTTGCTCTCTCTCCGTGTCCTTCCCCACAGTGCTGCTCACAGCTGTGAACTGCTACAGCGTGAAGGCTGCTACCCGAGTACAGGACGCCTTTGCTGCTGCCAAGCTGCTGGCCCTGGCCCTCATCATCCTGCTAGGCTTCATCCAGATGGGAAAGGGTGAGTGACTCGACATGTGACACCTACTGTGTGTCATCTGCCCCCCACCCCCACCCGTCCAGTGCAGTGAGGAGTCGGCCTGGTCCTCCTTGGCTACCTCACCAGGGACCTTGAGTTGGCCCCAGGGAAAGTTGAACGGCAGAAGAAACTGTGAGCTCCAGAATGCGTACAAAGCCCTGTCCCTAGCAAAGGGCAGGAGTCTCTGAAGCCTCTGGGGTGTCCCAAGTGTCTGCCCATCTGTGCAAGATGTTGGGGGATCAGAGCTTCCACGTGGCAGGGTTTCGCCCACCACAGCACCCCTCCCTCTGCTTTGTGACCAGCATGTCCCACGTGGGAGGGCTCTCTGAGGACTGATTTGTTCTCCATCCAGAAGCGTGGCTCTTGCTGATTCTCATGCCTGTGTGTCCAGGGACTGTGTGGCAGGCAGTGGGACTTAGGTTTCAACGACGTGAAGAGTGCCTTCAGGAGTGGGGTCACTACCGGAGGACAGTGGAAAGCCTTCACAGTGTGTTCAGATGAGGGCCAGTGGCTGTGCAGCTCATGAGGAGCACTGTTCTAAGTTAAGCACGTCAGTGGGTATAGAAGCGAGGCAAATCTCTTGTCATCTGCCGCTCACACAGGCCCTGCTGGCACGAGGAGCGCAGGGCAGCAGGTTAGGCTGCAGGGACCCTGGTCACACACGGTATGAACTTGGGGAGATGATCTGAATCTCTGAGTCTCTTCCCCTGACTGCTGGGAGGAGTGAAGGGGAACGTGAGGTGTGTTCCACACAAGGTCTGCGCTCTCTATGGTCCCTGTGCAAGCCATGTGTGGTGCTCCGCCAGCTGTCTGGAAATCCTAACACATACAGGCACACTCATGTCTAACTGTCTTCCTGTCTCTTTGTCCACCTGCCCTTCATAACTGTGTAATATTCCACAGTAAAAGTGTATGTGGTTTATTAAAGAGTCCTTTTTGGGAGATAGAAACACAAATGTCTGGGTTTTGAATTCCAGCCTTTATGGGGTGAATTAAAGTGGAGACCCTGAAGGTCAAACCTAGCCCAGGGTCCCTGCTTGCAATCCTCCTTTGCATCTATCTCAGTCTGTAGCGGCCTAAATCAAGAATGGACGGGAGCTGGCCGAGCGCCCCTGAGCGTTGTGGTGTATGGTAGCCATTACTGCCCCAGAGAGTTTGGGGCAGGGCCAGTGCTCAGCATCAGTCAGTTACTTGGAGCTGCCAAGGAAGCCCTGGGGCAGAGGCAGCAGGGACCTGTCTTCATTTCACAGAGCTGGGGTTTGGCTGGGTCTGCCTCCTTTTCTGATCTTTCTGTATAAAGTTCTAAGTCCCTAGGTACGGGAAACTGAACTTGCCTTCATGGGGCAGTAGCTCCTGTCTCCCTACAATCCAGTCTCTTGACTATGCTAAGGCTCCTGGCTGAACTGGGAGGGTGGGAGTGGGGTGCCTGTGATGGAATCAGGTCCCTTCCCACCTCAGTGGAGCCTCACTCCAGACTTGAGACAGCCTAGGAACATGTATCCACAAGGGCTTGGAGGAGCCTGAGGGGTGGGACCTTCCCTCCTGCAGGGGTGAGCGCTGTCTGCAGGAACTCCACATCGTTCCCTGTGGCAGAGGTCTTCATGGCCTCATTTGTCTGTACAGTGTTTATGTGTGACTGGAACCGTTTGCCACTATGCTTGAGGTGATGAAAATTCTAGAATATGGCCCAGGTGGTGCTTCTAGAGCTGGGCCCAGTCTTTGAAGAGTGTCTGGGCAGGGATTATCAGGGGTATAAGAACTGCTCACCTGGAGTCCAGCAGCAGAGTGGCCTGAGGCCTTTGCTAATTCAGCTTCCAGGAGCCTTCATGGGGCTCCAGAGAGTTCTCTCCAGCACCTTCCTAGATACATTTTGGAGGGCATTCACATTTCTGGGAATCTGGTTGGTAAGACTCTCCGGCACAGAGGTGCTATTCAGATGCCAGGGGAGGAGCTGGGTTGAGCATCACCTGGACGCTCCAGGGAGTGGTCAGGGCCTGTTTATGGGCAGAAGGAATCGTATTCTGTGCTCACAGCCCCAGTCACACTGCAAAGCATGTGGCTAGAGGTAGGAGTATGGAGGGGACCTTGTTTGCTGCTGTGATTCGATACAGACAGAGGAATTTAGGACCGGAACCTGGTGTTAGTGAAAACAAACTTGAGTAGGGGACAGCAGAGCTTTTGTCGGGCTTGAATGCACAATGTGTTTATAATTCCGGTGGCTGTGGCAAGCACGCCCCACGCCCCCAGCAGTTCCTTTCTGAGCTCCAGGACTCAATGCAGCGTCTGCAAAATTCCTGTGCGGGTTTCCTCCGGGGATTTGTTCTGTTACCCAGATGGATGCCTTGGCTTCTGAAGGACAGTGTTGGAATGTTGACCCCTCTCCAGAGAACTTGCCCACTCTCATTTCCCATCGGGCACAGAGTCCTTGGAGAACCTTGGTGATCACCAGGTCCTTGAAGGCAGAGGCCCTGGCACTGGTCATGTGTGTGAGCCAGCCTGCTTTAACGGACCCTTCTGTGGGTCTGGGACATGGTGGTCATTTCCACCTGGCCCTGGGCAGCTTCCTCATTGACCACCCCAGCCCTCTGGTGACCCTGCTACTCAGGCTGTTTTCTCATCTGGAAAGGTGAGAAGCCTGTGGGCAGTTGTTCATCCCTCCCCTGCCAGCCTTCCACAGAATCTCTGCAGCCCCTCATGTGGGATCCAGTGAGGACTGGGCCTGCACTTGAGAGCTTACGTCACTATGAAAAGGCATCAGGTAGCCACAGACCTGTGGACAAGAGAGTTGCAGACAGAGTAGATAAGTTGCAGACAGAGTAGATAAGGCTCTGACCCAGGCTGGGAAAACCCTCCTAAGTACAAAATGGAGGCACTGTGGCTGCCTCTGCTGCCTAGCAGGCTGGAGAGGACTCAGCCTGTTGCTGGTATCACAGGGTATTTGCACTTGGTCCAGTGGTTTCAGAAGTGCAGACAGTGTCCAGACTGGCATTAGATCTGCCTGGGCTTGTGGGTGGAAGTGGGTGAATTGTGGTGGCAGCTTGGCCAGTGTGACCCCAGAGAGAAGCCCTGGAGACAGCCTAGTGACAGTAAGAGAGACAACAGGTGACAGACATGGTGGGCAGGGACTCCACTGTCCTTGACCTGCTGTGTCCTTTCTAGTTAACTGGCCCTTCACCCACAGCACCCCGAAGGGGTTATAGCTTGAGGTTAGACTGTTCCCAACCACAAGTGGGTACCAGGCCTTCTTCTCAAGGCCGGGTGTGGGAGTGTGTTATGGAAGGTTCTTCCCTTGTGCCCATCGATGGGCCCAGGTCATCAGAGGACACAAAGTAGCTAGCTCTCTTGTAGTTCTGTTTTGTATGTACCACACTGCAACAGGACAAATTGACCTCCCAAGGCCATTGCAGATTGTAAGGGACAGCTTGCAGATGATGGTGTCCTATACAATTTTCTCCTTCTCTCCCACTTAGACTGCTCAGAAAGGGACTTTACTGGCTGGCACATCCATACAATGTGACACATCTTCATTAGCCTGAGCTGTGAGTGAGTGGTCACCTGCTGTGCCAGGGCTCATGGGAGGGGAAAGTGCCACCCTCGGATGCTGGCATGGGTGAACAGCGACAAGTGGACTCCTCAGTTGTGTGTTAGCTGTGTCCTTTGTCAGCAGGTGACAGTGACCCGTGCCTCGCTCAGGAGACTAGGCCTGCCCCGAGTTTCATGGGCTTCAAAATAATTTTCACTTGTCTCTTAGTGAGGTACCTCAGCATGAGAGAGGTGGGGTGCCATGCCCTGGATCCTGCAGCTCAAGGGTAGGTCCTGCTGTAGCCGCAGGCACAGTGCAGGGTCGCCAGACTGTGATGGAGTGCTGAGGTCCTGTTGCTTGCTGTATTGAGTGGTGAGGAAGGCTGGGAGCCAAGTTCTGGGATGGCTGGCAAGGTGGCCTGCATCAGCAGCACTCTTGAGAGCTCAGCTGGGACCTGTTATCTGCAAGGACCAAGGCAGCAGCCTCGGGTGGTTGGCTGCCTGAGAGCTGCCCAGTTCATGGGTGGTTCCTTCTGTGTTGTCATGGGGCAGGGAGCTGTCCCTTGAGGTCTCCTCACACCAGAGCACTGTGTATCTTGTGGGGTCAGGGCCTCATCTGAAGTCCCTTGTCACTTTCCTTGGCCATATGCAGGCACACTGGGGTCCAAGCTATAACACTTCAACTGCTCTGCCAACAGGAAGTAGGATAAACAGCCTGGAGCCTCCTATAAACCCAGGGAAGCCTGGGGACATATTTGGGGAGGGGAGTGTCCACTCATCCATCTACTTCCAAAGCTATCTTTGGAGGGGTTACCCTCAAGCTAGCCTCGGCTCCATTGGGGAACTCAGGGTATGGATCATTGTGGAGCAACATCTCAAGCTTTGAACATACCAGGACCAACCGGACATCATGCCCGAGGCCTCCACACACTCGCTTCAGATGCATGCCAAGCTTGGCCAGTCCTCTGCATGGACATCCTGGGGCCTGGCCACAGTAATGTCCCTCCTGGGACCCCCAGAGCAGCAGGCTACATGGCCTCCTCCTTGTGGCCAGCTCATCTGTGCCACCTGAAAGGATTTCATCCGCAGAGGCTTCCTTTAGAAGTAAACGTGTGTCTGCAGAAAACTGGCAGGCGCACATTAGCTGAGTAGTATATAGCCCCACAGCCTGGAGGACAGAAGGTGATAGTCTCAGCACAGCGCCGTCCCTGGGTTGAGGTTGGCTATAAGGGTGCTGTGGGCTAGTGAGGCCCAGCTAGTCTTGCAGGACCACAGTGCCCTAGGTTTCTCCTGCTTGCCAGCTCTGTGCGGCCTCAGAGTGGACCATATCTCAGGATAACTAGTTTCTCCATGCCTGGGGCCCAAGTGAGTAAGTGACCTGGTCTTTCCCCCTACCTCTGATGTACCAGAGGCAGACAGGTCTTGGGACACACCAGCCTTGGGGAGCCTCTGTCCTCTGAGTCAGGGATGGCAAGACTGGCTATGTCCCATGGTTGGGAAGGAATTCAGCTCTGTCCGTTCCCACCTACACACAGCGTTTGTGTGTGCCTGACCAGGCATCTATCCAGGAAGGCAGGCAGGGCACTTTGACCTCAGGAACCTCCTTTCTTTTGAGGGGAGGGGGTTCCCATGGCCACACTACATGACACAGTGTCTGTGGGTTGCTATTCCCTAAAGTCCTCTTCTCTCGGCCTCCGAGCAGTCCCACCCCAGCTACCCCTGCTTTCTAGAGAACTCTGATTTGTGGTTTCTAGAGCTGCACCCTGCTTGGGTCTCTGCTTGTGCATAGCTTCTCAGAGCGGCGCCATCAGCCTTGTGGAGAGAAGCATTGGATGGCTGAGGAAGGGGAGGCCTGCCAGCCAGGCCCAACCTGCCATAGCCAGAGTGGGAGAAGGGTCCTGAGACAGTGCACAAGCCCAGAGGAAGGGCACTGGTGCTCCCAGGACCATAGTATGGTGGAGTTCCCTGGTCCCAGCCGACCTGTGCCGTTTACACTACAAGCCTGCCTGCCTGCCTGTCTGTCTTGTTACGGTGGCTCTGGAGAAAGAGGCACTGGGTGGCACAGCTTGGCTGCCCTGGCTCTGGCCATTGTTAAGTTAGCAAACCCTCATTTAGTACATCATCCAGTGCCTGACGTTGTGTGGACACAGATCAGGCCCGCCTGGGTTTGTGGAGAACAGGCGTTGGGGTGGGAGGTCGGTGCTGGACTTCCTTTAACTGTGGGACTCATGCTATGCACACTGAGCAGCATCTCTGGTCTCTGCCACTAGATGCCACTAGATCCCACTACTTGTCCCCACCCCCAAGCTGTGACACCCCCAAGGTTTCTTGGTTAAGCGAGGGCAGCTACCTCTAAATTCCTGCCCTGTCCCACTTCCGGCAAGGTGCCTGTCTCCCGTTTCTCCTTCTAAGCAACTCAGCCACGCACAGGGCACAAGGGCGTTGCCAGTGCGTTGACTAGAGTGGGCGTGACCACTCCCACAAGCCTTCGAACTGCCAAAGTGGAGCTGTAATCAGAGGATGACAGTTAGGGTACTGTGAGGTCTTCCCTGAGCTAATCCAACCTGGGAACGGCTTGGGAGAATCCAGACCAGCAGATCTGCTGCCCACCCCATGGTGCCTGTGGAGAGAAAGGCGTTGGTGAGATGTCCAGAGAAGCTGTGGCCTCCAGGCCAGCATAGACTCTGCTGCAGGCCTGACTGAATGCCACAAGTCCTGACACATAACTGGGTTTGAGTCCCCACCTCCATCCTCTCAGTGGTAAGAGGATGGCTGTAGATTTGAGGTGGGTATACTGAGTCCCTGGCAGAGAACCGTCTGCTGAGGGAATTGAACCAACCCTCCTGCCACCCCCCCACCCAGGCTGGATAAGCAGGCATCCTGCCCACTGTACTAAAGATGTCCCAGTCACTCTGCTTCTTGAGGTCTTGTTACAAGGTAATTGTGGACTCCCCACTAAAGTGGTCTTTGTTGACCTAGGGTGGATTCTTACCATTTTTCCAGGTCTCCTATTCATCCCCATCCCTCAAAGATCCACAGCATGGTGGAGAATCAGCTTTGATTCTCACATAGCCTGACAAATCCTCATACCACTGCATAGTTGGTCTGTGCCTTAGTTTCCCGACTTGTAGGAGAGGTACTCCCCAGAGCAGAGATAGGTGAGTTAGGCCCATTCCATGTAAAGGCTCTCCTTGTTCTAAAACATTCCATTGCAGAGCATGAGGGGAGTGCCCTGGGTTGTGGGAGACTCCACCAAAGCACTTTTGAAGGTACCCTGTCCTGAGCTGCCCTGAACTGCTCACCACAAGCTGGCTTCTGACTGCCCTGTGACCAGGACCTAGACAGATGGGGATGTGGGTAAGACCTCAGAAGACCAGGCTTAAAGAAGACTGAGGGTGGATGGAGAGCCCAGGACAACCTTAGCTTGGGTGGGGCAATAGAATCATGGGACATTTCATACATCCAGAAGACCATGAAACACTGGTCCAGGCCTGCCTTCCTCCCTCCTCCTTCCCCTCCCCTCCTCCTCCTCCTCCTCCTCCTCCTCTTCCTCCTCTTCCTCCTCTTCTTCTTCTTCTTCTTCTTCTTCTTCTTCTTCTTCTTCTTCTCTCTCTCTCTCTCTCTCTCTCTCTCTCTCTCTCTCT